AGTACAAAAGTATCGATTCTTAAAATTTTCTTTTGCATCTTTAGTCTCGTTGCGACGCCCCTCTCGGTGGTAATTACGTTTGGACGGAGTCGCGGGGGGCCTTGAGAAGCCTCTGGGGGAGGGGAGACGCGAAGGGGGCTCACCGACATGAACAAACGGCCGGAGACCGGCTGAAACGGCTCCGGTTGGCTCTCAGAGAAGAGAAAGAAAAACAACGATGCAGATATAGACTGCTGACCACAAAGCCGCGATGACATTAAGTTGCCCATATACTTCCGCTTTTTCTTCTGCTGTCTTATCCGAATCCGAACGTTGGTTGAATATCATCATAGTTATACGAATTTTACTAGTTGCAGGGCGAATCAGCTCTGTTGATGATGAAAAATGTTTTCCTTCCGAGTTCCCGTTGTCCATTAACCTTTCCTTGGACTATGTTCTGAGCGCGATTCTGTGTTTGCCCTGACTTCGCGTTCCATCCCACTCTCCATAGTAGCTCCTGGTGATCTTCTATATCTATGAGATTCTTAGAATTCTCCCCGAATAGTCCACATTCCGAAAGGTTTTGTATCATTTCCAATCGTTCCACTTTTTTTGAAATAGTATAACTGATTATGTTCCATCCAGTATGATTTTGTTTTGGGAATATCATTAGAGGAAGATTCCACACAATCTTGTTTAAATTGCTTGGCAACCAGTCATTCTCCAAGACGGCGATGAAACGAGATAATAGCACAGTAAATGTGGGTCCTCTATATTTTTTGTTTTCTTAAATTGAAAATTCATTTTAGCAACTAAATATATACGGACACTACTGAGCTGATTTGGCAGTACCAAGAATTTGGACTTTTTTTTCATTCGTAGCATGCGATTCAATAACAAATTTGTGCAATGGGTCTTCCGCAAGATTTCTTGTTTCAAGTTCATGATTTTGTCGCTAAATATTATGAGATAAGGAGTGAGAAATCGACATTATGTTTAGTTAAATATAGTACATAAATTACAAATAATTTCCAAGTTGATCTTCATCATCATGAGCCCGTGTGACGAAAGATGGCCGAAAACGCTTACGTTACCGGTCCACAACTGCTCGATGTTCTGCGCAAAGCACAGATAGATATCGCACCACCAAAACGGTAGTCTCATTCAGCAGCCGCAATACCAGGTATTCACAAAGAAGACTAATAATGCCTTTCTTTCCATAAATGCATAAATACACACTATTCAAATGTTTGCCTTCCATCTCTGTAACCACGACCAACCTTAGATAGTGCTGAATTTGTGCTCATTAACAACTCATCAAGGCGGTATAGTTTCTAGTAGTCCTGGAAACGGAAAGAAACGAGTGGCTATGGTGGTTTAAAAAACTGAAAATTTGATTACCACTGAACCTATACCACACTAATGAGTTGCTAATAAGCACGAAACAGTGCGGTTTGCGATTTGCCGTAGTTCCAGGGACGGAAAGCAAATATTTCGATTTTAACTTTACATAAATGTTCAACTATATCTAGTTATATTATAGAGTCTGAATCCTTAAGCTAAATAGCTGTTGTTGTGTGGACACCCTTAATGGAGCGTTAAGCTAGGACAAGGCGAGTCGAATCAAGACAACGCAGCTTCTACTGAAAGAACATTCACCAAGCGTTGGTATGTTGCCAGATCTCACTAATAAGTGGAGGGCTCGATATGGCAGTAACTGCTCAGTTGGAAGATGAGATGTTATATTGCAAATAAGTAGTCCTCTATGTTTGTCTGGCCGCTAAATGAAACCAATAATATGCTGTTTTATAGTGTTATCAAGCACAAATGACAATGAGATATAATTTACATTTCTTAAAGTTAAAATAATCTATTAAAACTTGTATTGTTTCACTTTAAAAGTTAAAAACTGTAAATTTCCCCAAAATGCGCACAACACAATTGCTATTTTTTGCTTGGGAAATGACATTCCTTTGAATATTGGCTCGCCACTAAAAAATGTTGAAAATGAGATCTTGATTGATAAAGCAAATTGAATATTCATCTCTCGAAAACGTTTTCTAATTGAATGTTTAATTTTCTTACCCTATGACTATTTACGATTCCGAAAACATAATCATGAAACTCGAACGTACCACAGTACCACCATGATTTTTTTGACCCTCAGGTCAGAGCAATATCCGTCAGGCAAATTTGAAGAGCAAGGCCGAAGACAAATACAAAACCAGACTTTATGACGGCTTAACTGTCGGTAGAACTAAATGTACCGATATTAATGTTTTTTTAAATTATGATAAAACATATTATGCAAAATTATAAAACAGTTTAATTAAAAACTGTTATAGATCGAGAATAAATCAGTTTATGACAAGTTCTTTTATTATCTTAGATGTAGCTTTTTGTTTTGACTAACACTAAAAGTTTGCTTTGTTTTTAACGATGCTTGATAGAACAAAAAAAGGCAAGCATTAGATTTTTTTGCCAAATAAAATATGTTTGAGTAACTACAGCAGCCATGTTGTATTTAGTTCTGATGTATACACCCAATAACAGTCAGACAGAAATTCAATTCGCAATCAGATGGTCGATATTTTACCACGCAAGAATTTTTTTGATTAATATATGGGATAATACACTTAAAAATGGGCGTCGTAACGTGGAGTTGGAACAACATAAAATACGGCTTCCACATTATTAAATACTTTTTTCACCTTGGGAACTCTTATCAAACGTTTCTGCTTTATAAGAAATTTTAATAACAGAGATGTAACTGAGCCAAAAACGTGGATCACAACAATGCTTGTTGGAAACTAGCAAAGAATATGTTACAATTTTAAACTGTCAGTCCTAATTGCTTTATTTCTGCTCCTAGAATGCAATTTTGTTTTAATATTATTGCCTGTCAGGCAATTTAGCTTTTAAGAAGTATTTTGCTTTATAAGCTGGTCGCAAAAACGTTTTCAGAGGAAAAACACAAAACAAATTGTTTTATTAGCGCTCTGTGAAACATTTATAAAATTTATTCACCTATATTTCTCTCTGAAATTATTGCTCGCTAAAGCATATTGTATTCAGATGGTACCTTGAAAAATTATTATGTTTTTATAATTAGCACCGTCATAATAAAAGCTATATATATATATATATATATATATATATATATATACATCCCACTAACTCCGTGGCGTCCTACATTGCCGATTTGCTATCTTGCAGCGTCCGACTTCAACCGAGCGTCCGTATATGGACGCCCGGTTGATTTCCCATAGATTTGTATCCAAAGTGGTGTTTAGAATCGTCCATTAAAATTTTGTACGGGCGCCCGGATAATACCACAACCTGCTTTTTTATATAGTAGTGGTATATTATAAGTTGAACGCTTTCGCCTATAGAGGCGTATGATACGACTGTTGAATATTTTGGCAAGTATATTATACTTTTAACCTGTCGATTTCTAAGCGTCCACCCTAAATTTCAAATATTGACAACACAGCATTCCCTTTAATTCTATTTTTAGGTTTCTTTCCGACCACCTGCTAATAACCGACTGGCATTATTTGTTCTGCATTCGTTTTTAAGATTTGATTGTTGGTATATTATACTTTTAGCCTATCGATTTCCAAGCGTCCATCCTAAACTCGCTGTGTCTTATGATGCAGTGTTCCATTTAGTTCTATTTCCTATTTCGGGTTTCCTTTCGAACATGTGCTAATTAATTGTTTCTCAATCGGTTTCAAGGTTTATTGTGGGTAAGTATGAAAATATTTATTTATTGTATATGTAATTAATATTAGTGAAATTCCTAACAAATATTCTCAATATTTCTGTTACTTTTCTGGGATTAACATTCAGATAATGAAACTAACCTCATTTTGTTGGAACGTTTTGCCGTTTCGCGGCAGATTTTTCAGCTATAAAATTTAATATATTTTCTTACGGTTTAGAAACAATTTACAAAAATAAAACACAAACGTTCTAAAGACCTCAATATACACTTATACTTTAATATATTTATTTATATTGTAAATAATCATATGATTAAATATTAAAAAAGTGTTTTCTAACCGGCTATTTATACATGTCATTACGCAGGCCTAAGGCCTAAAAACACCGTGGGTGCCGTGAGACTACAGTGGAAAGGGGAAACGTCACACGTACTCTAATGAGGGAGCATGCGTACACATTCAGGCCCCACCTAAGAGAACCGAGGGTGGTGCCTCAACGACGACGATCAATGACCGTCTACCACCTATCAAGATCAGAAGAGTCCACTTGTATTTTAGCTTTCTTCAGCATCAACTTAATCTTAACTTCCTCGCAGATCATTTCCTCTTTTTATCTGGGAAAGTTCGAATCCATCATGGCGTGTATCTGAATCTGGTGCTTCGCCCTCTGCTGGACAAGTACCTTTTTTCACAGCATTCTCGTGGGTGTTCACATTCTTTCTCAACAATTTCTATTATCTCAGAGGTTCCAATTATAACCTCTGGTGTGTTCTTATTTGTCTTAGTGGCTACCTCAACATTATGCTTCGTCCAATTCGTCCATAGTATTTATATCTTGAGGAAATAGTGTACAAAGGAGAGATATACCTGTTAAAGTGACAACTGAAACTATGATTGTCACAATGCTAAAGGTTCCGTGTATATTTTCTTGAATCGTTTTTTCTTTGACTTTCTTGCTAGTGAGACATTGCCGTTTGGGTCTACGGCCTAAGCGGTACCTTCAGGTATAGTTATGAAGGGTTTTCAACATCAATGGCCCTGTTTTTGACACTTGATCCATGGAGCTTGTCAGTGTCGGGGAGCTTTGCGAGGCTTCATGGCGGGCACTGTCGGTTTCCTCAATAGCACTCTTAATGTGTTCGAACTAACATCCGAACCACTTTAGTTGATGATTGGTAAACTCATAATAACTTTAAAATGGATAAATACAGAGAATTTTTCAGTACTTTGAAGATATTCACTTTGACATTGACAGTACCAATTCATTCTTGGTTTATTCAGTAAAGGATAGGAAGTCAATAATTAATTTTCTGGGTATGTCATTAATTAGACTGAAAAATGTTCCTAACATTAAACAAAATGCTGCACGAAAGCTAATTGATCATCAGGATACTAAATTTCACTTCTCAGGTAATAAAAAGTGTAATGCTCGGTCTTATTGATCACATACATCCCCAATTATAAATATTTTTTCGACCGATTGAGCGATATTTAGAAGTCGTGCCGTCAGTTTGAATGCAATGTTTCATAATGTCTCCTTAAAAATATGCTAATGGAAGATAAATACTATAGAATACTATAGAACTGGCCAAACAGAGATTAAAAACTTTTTTGAATAAAGAAAATCCCAATCAAATAACAACGTGTCAAACTACTCTTCCAATTTTATTGATTCTAGCTGTATTCATTGCTTTGGTAATTTCAGATAATATGGACAGAAAAACAAAAATTATGTTGAATGCACTCAATATAAAGGACAGGAGTTGCATTGATTTCCTGAAAGTTCCTAAATATGAACGACTTGGAACCACCCAGAACGAACAAGATTTGTGCATTCAAAGTAAGTTCTGAATAAGTTTTTTCATAAATAAAACCGAGTTATTGTAAGTAGCCGTTGACTGTACAGGGTTACTGATTAGAAATTGTGCACGTCTCTTTTTTCATTGTTTGAAATACAAATTTACATTTTTTACCAATTGCAAGGAAAATAGCGTATTTTTATAAAAATAGCGGACATATAACAAGGTTTCGCAAGAGACTGGGATACAACTATGTTAGGTTTTTTTGTTTGATTTCGTGACAGATTTTACATACTTTTTGGAACATACTGTTGGTCTATTTGAATTCTTTTTGAATTAAGGGCATTTGAAAGGTGATATTTCTGGGCACTTTGAATCCTCACAACGCCTGAACAGTTTGACTTCGAGCAGAATAACATCCGGTCTAGTTTTTGATAAGCTTTCACCTATAATAATGAGTGAAACAAAAGTAATGATACATACTTCGTTTTATGGCATTTTTATTTTGCTCTAACAATAAGATTGTTGAGGGGTTATGAGGATTTAGAGTACCAAAACTGTTATTTATCAAATGTCGATGATTTAAAAACAATTGAAGATAGACCTGCGGTATGCTTAATGATAAATATTTCAAATTCCTCACATAATCCAAACATTGTGTAATATATAGGCAGTTCCATTGAAAAATTATTACGGCCTTTTTGGGGAATTCTGTATAACACTTTTTCTATCTTTACAAAAATACATTGTTTACTTTTAAAAACTACGGTACATAATTTACTTCTGTGTCTCAAGAAATTTTAGTGAGGTCAAATTATTCATTGACATTCAAGTTTGGAAAATAACTGGAAGTAGTAATTTATGAATTATTTGCGAAACTTTGATTTAATCAATAGCCCTAGAACTCTTTAATTGAAAAGCAAATTTTGTAAATTGTTGATTAAAATTATATTAAAGAATGAACAGATATATTAAAGAATGAACAAATTGTTTTGGGCAAATAGATAAAGTCACTAAAACTTGGTTCAAGCAATACTTTTGGCTGCAGAAATATCTTGGATAGCCACTGCATTGTCGGTACTGAAAAGACTTAATTTAAAAAAAATTATAACATTAAACATTTTACTTCACAGGATCCCAAGAACTATTTGGGAACGTAACAAGTCAAACAAGAACACCTGCTATAAAAATTCATACTCCAGCATATCCTCCACCGAAAAGGTGTATAACACAAGACTACAGAAGGTTAAAAAAAATCTCTTTGAAGAAGAATACCTATAAGTCCGCAAGAACACTTTAGAAACCTCCAGTCTGGTGGAATATCACCTACAATTGATGTAGTATCTACTAGTGATGAACATTTTGATGCTCATGGTAGTAGTAGTAGTGAGCATGCTTCAGAAGAAAATGAAGCTTATAGTAGTGGTACTGAATACATTCCAGATACTCCCTCGGTTTCATCAGATTCTGGGAGCGAACCTGGCAACAGTTTTATCCAAAAGACGACCATTTATGTAATAAACAGGTATATTGTGATGCCAGTTAATTATAAATCTTACAACCCCGTAAGTCACAAATAATATTGATACACCAGGTGCTTTAGAATACTATCTGAAATGAACAAAATATAATTTATAAAGAGCGGTTTTTGTGAGAGGAGCTTAATGCAACATGCCCTGCTACAATTTTGAGTATATTATAGAGAGATCGAAATTTTCATATGTTTGGCGCTATGATCGTTGTTTTGTCCAATAAAATGTGAGTTTTGAAGGTTAAAAAAAGCTATAATAAATGTTTTGTTTCCAGGAAGAAATATCTGATCCATATACTGAAAAAGTTACATTTTCGGGCCGCACTGTTGAACCAATTCTGCCATCAGAAGAAAACCCTTCCAATAATTTTGGGATATATAAACAGGATGGTGAAATGCGCAAGGGAAAGAAAAAGACAGATTTCTGTTTCTTTTGCGAGACTCCAGTGTTAAATTTTGCCAGACATATAACACGCAACCACCCATCAGAAATCGAAGTCCAAGAAATTCTGCTACATCCAACTCGTAGTATAGTAAGAAAACAGCTCTTGGACCGTTTAAGAAAAAAGGGAAACTATATAAATAGTAGTGTCGCGTGTAAGCCAGTCCAAAGTTTGCGCTCAGCAAAAGATCTTTTGCCTTGCGATAATTGCCTTGGTTTTTACTCTAGAAATTGTTATGGAGGCACAAAATTAAATGTACTGGATCAAAGAGCACACGTGCTCAGGTGTCTGCCCAAAATTTATTGGTATCTAGCTTGAGAATTGATCTAAATTTGAAAAAGACGGTTTTTCCCAGGATGAGAGCGGATGAAATATCTCTCGTTGCAAAAAGAGATCCACTTATTTGTGCTTATGGAGCAAGGTACATGAAAATTCACCGAGAAAAGCATTTCATCAACGTAACATCTAGGAAAATGCGAGAAATTGCTCGATTTTTAATCGAAATAGAAAAAATGGAGCCAAATATTCATTGTCTCTTTGATGCTCTGAAACCTAAATATTTTGATACAATTGTTGCTGCAACAAAAGCAGTGGCAAAATATGACGTAGAAAAGGATAAATTTGAATCACCAACCTACGCTATGAATATGGGCACGAATCTGAAGCAATGTGCGGAGATAGCTATTATATTTGCTCTGAAAAGGAAACAAATCGCCTTAACAGTTTCATCTGCTGAAGCAGAGGCAGATTTAAAAACTTTGATAAAAGTCATTGAGTCACAATGGCAATATGAGATTTCTAGCCAGGCCGCCAGTGATATAAATATTAACAAGTGGAATAAAGTTACCCTAGTGCCACTTGCCAGTGACTTAAAACTGTTCAAGGAATTTTTGATAACGACGGCAAATTCTGCCGCAACTGCACTTCAGAACGACGGCGACGGGGACGTTAGCCAATACGTACTTCTTTTGGAGTCTATATTCTGCCGTGTGATTTTACTTAACCGAAGACGTCCAGGTGAACTGCAAAGACTGACACTGGACAATTATCAAATATTGGAGAAAAGCGATTCCAGCTCAAATTATGAAGAGTTCTCCGAGGTTGTTTCTCCAACTGAACAAATTCTACTCAAAAGATTTAAAAGGATAGTAATAAGAGGTAAAAGGGGACGAGGAGTACCGGTTCTTTTTAGTCCCGACATTCAAGGACACATAAATATTTTAATTAAAATACGCAACAAATTTGTTAGTGAAAAAACCCATTCCTATTCGGTAATGCTAAATCAAATGAACCTATATGTGGTTATAAGGTTCTGAAGAAATTCGCACTGGCATCTGGGGCAAAGAACCCATCAGCTATTACAGCAACTAGACTCCGGAAGCATTTGGCTACTCTCACACAATTATTTGATATGTGTGAGAATGATTTGGAGCAGCTGGCTAGTTTTATGGGACATACCATTGGCGTACATCGGGAAAACTATCGTTTACCAAATGATGTATACCAAACAGCCAAGATTTCAAAACTTCTGCTTTTAATGGAAAAGGACAAGCTGCTCAGTTTAAAGGAAAAGCCCTGAATGATATTAATTTAAATTTGGAAGAAGACTTGATGCTTGCTAACGAAGAACAAAGCGAACGTTGTGAATCGCCATCTTTGCATTCCGACGTTCCAGAACCGTACAGTTCAAAAATTCCAGAGAAGAAAAATGAATATCTTCCTAAGAAAAATAAACGAGTACTCATTAAGTGGACCGATGAACAGAAAAAAATTGTTATAAATTTTTTTGCAAATCATATAAAAAACAGAAAACCACCGAAACGAAATGAATGCGAGGAATTGAAAAGGCTCCATACCGAAATATTCTCGAATAAAGATTGGCCGAAAATTAAAGTATTCGTCCAAAACCAGTATCATAAATATAATAACAAATGAAGGAATTTTGTTTTACTTTTCAAGGGTTCCTATGAGAACAGATTCTGATTTTATTTTTGTAAGTGTTGTATAACTATTTTCTACACCTTACTTTTGCCTGTTCTTATTTAAGAATAATAAAGTGTATTCTATGTAACAAGGTATTTTTCTACATCCAGCATTTTCATTCATAAAAACTTAATGCACTACCCCTTGTATAATGTAATTTGTAAAACTTATCATGTGGTTATATCTGTTATTCATTTCGCTTTGCCTGGCTTCATACTAAAAGCACATGTAACGTCGTAGGAAATATAGGAAAAAATGAAACACAGTGTGTCCCCAGAAAAAAAACTTTATTCTTCTTTTGATCCATTTTATTGTCAAAATTAGCTTTCAAAAAGCATATAATTTTATTTTGATAACCGCCATGTGATAAAACTCCAAACGCCATCTACTGGTAAGACATTTTCTGATTCTTTATTAACAACTTTTTATTTACAATTTTATATTACAACAAGGGCACTTACCTGCTTCATGTCCATTTGATTTGAAGTTAAAACAAAATCCTTTGTACCTCTTCTTAGGTGTCCGATGTCTTCTTCCTTATGGGGTTATTACTGATAGTCCACATATGGCTCTTGCGAAGCGTTTTTTCCTGAACACCTTTCTTAGATATTGACTGCTAGAAATCGAGTTCAGCAGACCGAGCGCTGAACTTATTTGTAGGTACACTAGCCCGCTGACTTGAAAAATTTGTTTTTACGGGCCCCTTTCACTAAGATTCTTGGCCCCACACTTTGGACCAGCGAAGAAGCACTCACAGAATCCTTCTGTGTTGTCGACGTCCATTAGTACTAAGAATGTATTTTCTTCTCCGGAGTATAGCAGGCTTTATTTAAACACTCTTATGCTGTCCATTTTTCTTGAATCCCCTTGTTTTATACACTCAACCAGATGCCAATCTGATTTCTCTTGTAGAATGGTTATACTAGAACTTGTTGTTACCATTCTGTCATTCATAGAGAAAATAGTTACTGGAATGAATAGATGACTTGGACAAACATATTTACTGACAGATTTGGCAACGTCTCCGGACGCTAGGTAATCCTTAGAGTGAATTTAAAATATATAAATAGGACGCCCAGTCACGGAAATTTAAAAGTTTTGCGTATATTTGGGACGCTCAGTGAGTGTTACAGTGAAAGGAAGCTGAGAAGTCCGTGATGTAAAAAACGATTTTTTCTATGTTTCTGAACAAAACTCTATTGCTTTTCAACACCAACTGCTGTCATATTTTGAAAAATATTCAGCCTATAAAATGCACATACCTTCAGAATTTATAGTGGACGCTCAGATATTGTTTCTTGAAAGGACGCCCGAAAGATAGCGGGATGTATATATATATATATATATATATATATAAAATTTCAAAAGCAAAAAATGTTTGAAAGGATACAAAAGCATTTATTGCATTTATGAAACGAATAAGGCATTCATTTTTCCGGATAATTCGGGAACGATAAATTTTAAAACGGGGCATGGTTAAGCATTGGAATCCACATTCTTGCCTTAATTTAACCGACCTGGGGTACATCTTTCCCAGTTGGGAAATCTGTTAAACTAAGAGAAGAACGTGAATTTTAGTTCTTAACTATACCCTGTTTTAAAATTAAACAAATTTAAAGCCGCTCCAGAATTATCCGGAAAACTGAATGCCTTATCCGTTTTATAAATGTATTAGATAATAAATGCTTTTATATCCTGACAAACATTTGTTTGTTTTATAATTTTTATATGTAGGTTTTATTATTTCGGTGTAAATGATACCTATATAATAATTTTCTTAAGATATACCACTTGAGTGCAATATGTTTCAGGAGCGATATTATTAGACAGAAAATATTAAAAAAATAATTTTATACATGTTCCACATAGCGCTAATAAAACACTTCTTAAAAGCTTAATTGTCTTACTGGCAATTTCATTCAAACATAGTTGCGTTCTAAGAGCAGTAATAAAGCAATTATAAAATAAAATAGCTAGGACAGTGCAAATTATAAAATATATTTGCCCTTCACCTGTGACATGGAGGGTTAGTGGCGCCCAAATCTTCGATCGCATTAATCACCGATCGGTGACATAATTCCTCGTAAGCGCCACTGCCACAATGCATGCATTGGCGGCTCGCCGCACTAGAAACCCCGCTAGCGCCAGGCGTCAACAATCCCCTCCACAATCCTATTTTTCTTGCAAGTCGACCGCTCCGTGCTTCAGTCATTCGCCGACAGTAGGAGCGTTCGTTTCGTAAGCAACGTTGCTGATATCTCTCTCTCTGTTGCCATTCACGCCCGGCATGCAGTATTAGAGCGCTGACACGGACGCATTTCTTCTTGAAGTGACTGGATAGTGTAGAATAGATGAACAATGGGAGCTTTCGGAGTTGTATTCGGGTTTTCTGTGATATTTTCGTATAGATTCGCGTTGGTTTTAGCTGGAGGTGAAGGAATCACAATCAACAAACCTGTGGTCAGGTCTTCTAGGTTACAGGCGCAGTTTGCTACTGGTAAGAACTAATAATTCAGAAGTATCTAAAATTATTATAAACGGATATTTTTTGTCTTGGGGTGTCAATAGAAACTTTCCAAAAGCTTGAAAAACCAGCCAGTCTCTATCGTATTGCTACGGTATACGGTTTAGATCTGCGTGAGTGGTAACACAGGCAATGTGCAATGCTGACCAGAAAGTTGAAATTATAAATAAGACTCGCAAAGCTCACTCTTTATCTAAAGACTATGAAGTTTGGCGAAAAAATTTCTGAAACAATATCGTAAATTTTGTGACTAAAGACGAAAATGTGGAATGAGCCATATCGAACTTTTGAAATCTTCGAAAGAAGCTACCTGTCAACACAGTGCGAATAAATAATATTTGGCACCTGTGTCTCCACCAGTAACAATTTGTTGGTTAAACTGCAAAGTCGCAGTCCAGGCAGTGGCGGATACAGCGGGGTGTCATGGGGGTTCAGACCTCCCCGAAATATCGTAGTTTAAAAAGTTGGAATATGTTGTTGAATTTGGAGACGGCTCCCCCTCCCACCACCAGCAATTTTCAATCGCTCTTCCTGGTCACAAATTTTAAATTCATTAGATGGACCCTATTCCGAAATATTTTCTGGATCGGCCCGTGGATCTCGTTGATCGACCGGCAATGCGTTCCTAGTTTCAGTTTGCCAAATCGCGCTGGTTTCAAAATATTTCTTGATGTGCTACACATTGATTAAGTTCAAATCGCCCCCCCTCCCCGAAATATCAATGTTTAAAAAAAATCGAATCACTGATCCTCCCGTTCTTCAGTTTTCATACCCCTCTTCCCGAGACGGACTCCCCCGCTCAACACTTTTTTGAGCGGATAATTTCAAATTCATCGTATTATAGACCTCCCAAAAAATATTTTCTATATCCGCCACTGGCAGAGTGTTTCAAACAGAAACTGCACCAGTTTTATCGAAAGAAAACGTTTTTACTTTGTACCCCGGAAATTTTAAGTGCGCCACTGGAGAGTAATTGAGTTGGACGTTTCTATATCTTGCAATCGGACAAGATAAAGACATTGATGCACATATTTAGAAGTGTTTAAGTAAAATTACTCCTGATCTTGCAACTTCCCAATTCAGGATTTCCGACAATTATCCACCACATAAACCACCTCGACTACCGAGAAGCGAAGAAAAAAAGTGTGGTAAATGGTTTCTTCAGACCGCTGAATCCTGGGCAGTTTCCTGTATTTTTTCTGCAATTAAGTAATTTCGAATAACAGGACTGCAATGCCATTTCCGTTCTAAGATGTGAATTGCCTTCCTCTATTTTCTCCTTATAGCTTTTTATGCCAGTTGGAAATGCGTGGATGGCTTTTTTATGGTCGTGATTGCAACTTGTGGTTAGAGCCCAACGGAAATCGACAATCGAGACTGAAAAAAAATGAACATTGCAGGAAGAACGTATAATTAATTGCCTTTTTATGTCGGCGGTTATAAGGAAATTTTGTTTTTCCGTTTGACTTTCGACTACCTTTACATACACGATTACTAGCCTGAAAAATTTCGAAATGGATATATTATTTTTTGGATATTATGTTATGAAAAACCATGTCACTTATTTCCGTCGGTGTGTATGTCTGTCCTCTAATTCGTGGCCCGTACTGGCAAGTACCGCTCAGATTTAGATGAAATTTTTACACAATTGTATTACTGTGCCAAGGACAAAAAAGCGTTGTAGTTTTTGAAATTTGATTTGATTTTTTGATATATTTTATTGTGAGATCGTGTGATAATCGACTAACTCTGGAGTGTCGAGATGGTGGAATATTGGACAATATACAAATCCGATCAATCAAATATCTATCTGTTACATGACGGAGTCTATCGAGTCGTCCCTGAGTTTTAAAATTCAGTTAAAAATATATTTACAAGAATTGCAGAACAAGCTCCGACTTAAGAAGTTCTTTCATTTTCATACTTTATATTTTTGATCGGAGTTATTTTTCCGTTTTTTTATAACCTATTATCTCTTCATCTTTTTATAACTGAAAGGGCATTACTCATTCTATTGTATTGTGACTTAATCCATCTATTTTCAGTTTTAATCCATCTATTTTCAGTTTTGGTTTTGTATAATGCGTTTCCTTTATACCGGGTTAGACGGTGGAATAGCAGGTGTTAAATCTCGGCCAATGTAATATACCATGTTTTGGTCATTAAAGACGATTATTATTACATATTTTTAGCATTCGGTACTTAGGATTTTGCCTTCGCGGGTGACTCGGTATCAAAAAAAAAATCGGTTGCAAAAAATATACTTAGAAGACTGACAAATAGTCAAGAAACGAGTTGATAAGAACATAGGGATGTAACATGATCAGTAAAATGAAATTGCGTTTCCCATGATTCCAACAGTTCTCACAGTAGATCGGCCGCAAAGTCATCTTAGACCGTTGGATTCTAGTTCGCATACGGGCTTCCGCGTAGTTGCTTAGCGCCCAGAGCAATTTGCAATCCTATTTATAAACGCATTTTCAATATAGAGTGGATTGAGATGTACCGTTACCATACGCTCTAATCTATTCACAAACTAGCTGTGAGGAAGATGTTAGCCAGCTTGTCTTCAGCTCAAGTTAGCTAGCCTGCATATTATAATTTAAATGCCTGCACGCCACTATGAGAACACATCTGTCTTTTAATAATTAAATACATTCTGTTGATAATTGGGCGGAGATGCGTTTAAATATGTACAGTATGTTACCGTGAGCTGTATACATCATACGCAGTGCGGTGTGCGTATCGAGACTGTTCCTACTAGACAGGCAACAAACAACCAGTTTTACTCAATACAATTTTCCTGCTATACATACAGGGTGTTCCTTAATGATATGCGAATATTTAAGGGTGTGAATCTATATGAAACGTTAATGTTAGTGTGCTTTATAAACTATGGTCCAAAAACTCGGAGGGGCGTTGAAGTTAAATAAATAAAAATTATTTTTGAATTCCCCGTTCAATTTAAAACAAATGAACTGTTTTCCTTCGGTGCACCATTTTTGAGTAAAAAAATAAAAACCGTTCTATTGTCCGATAAAATTAATGTAATAATTGAATAATGCAATTTAGCAATAAATATCTAGTTGCTCTGGAATATGTCACTGGCTTTTGACATCTGACAAGTCTCTGTTATTCAAATATGTTCGATATGACATCTTTTTCATTATTTAGTTTTTATATATCTTGTTAATACTGGTGAATTATTCAAATGCAGAAATGGCGGAAATGCGATTTGGCCTTGCCGACGGTAATGGTGAGCAAGCCAGACGGATTTATCACCAGAGATATCCCGATCGTGCTTTGCCAGATAGTCGAAACTTCTCTAATATTCATCGTCGTCTTGTTTAAACTGGTTCTGTCCGAAAAGGAACATCTGAAGGTAGACCTCTAAGTGTGAGAACACCTGAAATTGAGGAAGCAGTCCTGCTCGAAGTCGAAGAACATCCTGAAACAAGTACGAGAAAGATCGCTAGACACTTAAATATTTGCCATCAAATTGTTTGGAGAATTTTAGTGGATTTTTTGTTATATCCTTACCATATTTTAAGAGCACAGGCATTACTTCCCATTGATTTTCCAAGGCGTGTAACCTTTTGTGAGTGGTAACTTCAAAAAATTACGCAATTTGAATCAATGATTCTTTCTGTTCACGGACGAAGCTAATTTTTCTCGAAATGCCATTCAGAATTTCCATAATAATCATTTGTGGGCAGAAGAAAATCCCTATGCCGTAACCGAAACCCATTTCCAACACCAATTTTCAGTTAACGAATGGGCAGGAATTATTGACAACCACTTTATTGACCCATTCTTCTTGCCGGACGACTTGACGGACAGACTTCCTCAATTTTCTTCAACAACAGTTGCCTTCGCTGCTTGATGATGTTCCGTTAGTAATAAGAAACAATATGTAGTACATGCGTGACGGTGCACCAGCGCATTTCAGTGTAGCGGTTCGTAATTATTTACAAACTGTTTATCCAAATCGATGGCGCTGTGGGCCCCAAGAATGGCCACCAAGGTCCCCAGACCTCAACAGTTTAGATTTCTTTTTGTGTGGCTATCTTAAGACACTAGTGTACACAAGTCCCATGAACACTGTAGAGGAATTAAGAGAATGAATAGTTGCAGCTTGTGATAGAATAAAAAACACTCCAGGGATATTTCAACGAGTGCGCAATCCCATAAGGAGGACGGAAAGCATGCATACTAAGTGGAGGCCATTTTCAACAATTTTTGTAATCATTTCGTTGGTTTTAATGTTATGTCTATGTTGTCAGTTGTTGTTGTTCATTACCCCTAATGTGTCTAATTTTCAGAATTAAATTAATAATAATTTAGGCAAGTTAGACAATAGAATGGTTTTTATTTTTTTACTCAAAAATGGCGCATCGAAGTAAAACAATTCAGGAGAGATCATTTGTTTTAAATTGAACGGGGAATTCAAAAATAATTATTATTTGGCCAAAAAACCAGTGGCGTACCACTTTTTTCTTAAAAAATATCGAAGTCAAAACCCGTACGCACGCCACTGTTAAAGCTAAAAATTATTTTTACATTGAAAAATATGCAACTTTATTAACTTTCACTACGTACTAAATATCAATGAAATATCTGAAGCGGTTCTGAAAATATGAATTAGTTTCCATTTTTTTCCTAAAACTTCAACACCCCGAGTTTTTGTAAGGACACATTCTTGGACCATAGTTTATAAACCAAACTAACTTTAATTTTTCATGTAGATTCACACCCTTAAATATTCGTATATCATTAAGGAACACCCTGTATATTAGCACAGATTAAGGTAGTGTGCCTGAAGATAACCAACCATATGTATTCCAGCGTCCTTAAAGGGATCTAAAAGATACTAGCCCCATTTATTTATATTGATAGTCAACATCAGTTTCCTAGTGCTAACTCTATACGGTGATTAAGAAAAACGTGGCAATATTTATAGGGCAGAAAGTACATCCAAAA